GTGCATGCCACACCTTTAAGATTTTTTTTATTGCACATATATGAACAACATTTGGATTGGAACTTGACACGAAATTCCACCAAATGCACATCAAAATTTATGGATGCAACATTTAGGAATGTGCAGGGGATAGATAGATGAGGGAGCACTGCAGAGATGGAAAACCTTCCAGCCAACCTAAATCACAGATGACTAAATTTACTTGTTTACCTCTATCAAAATAAGATCTGAGTTCTATCCAAATCCTTGGGTAGCTCTGAGGATGTCCAGCTCTCTGTAACTGTTGCATCTGCAGAGCGGAGCTTTTCCAAACTCAAATTGGAAAGTGATCTGATCATCAGGCTGTTGATTGCAGCAATTAACGTTATTGGCAGAAGTAGACAGCCTCAGAATCCAGTTTTGTTTAGAGCCCCTTGGAGGTTTGGGCCGGTCATCTGTCTGATGAGCAAACCCACATTCAATACGCATGCGCAAGACGTCAGATTGCGTTTATCCCTTTAGTTTTGTACGAAAAAATCGATTTTAGACTATCTCGATGGGCATGTATCCCTTTAATTATATGGGTCATTCCATGGAAAGGTTAAAGATTAGACCTCTGAATTTAGAGGTTTTTGATCATAACCTTTTTTTCTTTTTTTAGTGTCATAGCCTGTAGAACATATAACACTTGCAAAAAGATATTTTTCAAGCTCAGACACCATTTTCTGCGAATATTTTAGCACATTATATCCAGCGAACAGAGTTTCCTTTTCCACCCCGTCGCAGGACAAAGGTTAACAAATTAAAGGGTAATTTTAGATAAAAGTAAGACAAACAAAATGTTATTCACTTCAGAAAGTGTCTTTTAAAAAACAAAAAAACAATAGTGTTTTCAAAGTGTTTTTTTTTTTATGTTTTTATGTGATGTACAGCATTAATTCAATATGAAGAACGTTGCCACCTATTACAATGATTCCACCCCATCACTGGCTTTAGTGTGACGGGGTGGCTCAATTTCTGGATATATTAAACCTGATGGAGCCGTTAGCATTAAAGTACAATGAAAAATGAATGATTAAGTAGGGATGCACGATATAATCGTCCCCCCTATCGGTATCGGCCTGTATCGGCCTTAAAACTGAATATCGGACATCGTCCACCCCACCGATATTTAACCCGATATTGATCAGCTTCTGAGTTTCTAAAGTCTAAAAAAAAATACTTCTTCTTCTTCCTCAAAAACTTCTTTTTTACAGACTTAAAAACTTCTACACTGGAAAAAAACTAAATCTAGCTAAGTATTTTTTTCTTAAAATAAGTGCATTTGTTCTTGTTTGAGGATATAAAAGAGACATTTTGCCAATGGAACAAGACAATTTACACTTAAAATAAGAAAACACAATTGCATTGTCTTATTTCAAGTGCATATTATCTAATTAT